TATTGACAACAAATTGCATTAAACAAAGTTCACAATAAGACAATATCAGAGCGCTTAGCTGGTTCTTTACAAGAGGTGACCCCACATTTCTTCCTTGCTATGATCCCCTGCATTATGCAGGTGTTACAGAAAATATGTTCGCATGTCCTTAGCTTTGAATTGGCTTCAGGGCGCCTACATAGCCTACATAGGAGAGTGTGGTGCTTGTAGGGCCTGTCTAGGAGCAAATAAGTTCACTTGGGGCATCTTCTCCAACAACAGCCTGTCCACCAGAAGCCTGCCCTGCAGCGGAGGCCTGTCCACTTGGGGCCTGTCCCGCAGCAAAAGGCTGTCCATCAGAGGGCTGTCCCGCAGTGGGTGCCTAGTTCAGCATGGTCTGAAACAAACATACACAGTTTCAATGAGAAATTAAAAACCTAGTTGTAAAAATGTTTTCACAGCAGCTAGTAATCCCAGATGGTTTATTCTGATTGAATTTAAAGTGATAACAATATGATAAGATTAGCTTTCACTTTTCCAATAAGTTCAGGGAAAGCAGTAAGGGAAATAATGAGTTTTAATGATGAATGGCTTGTTTCACAAAAGCTGGCCTAGGGCAAATATATAGGCTCAATTGATTGGCAAAACATCCACTAGTGCTTCATATTTGCAGTTTGAGAACTTTAACGTGAAAATAAGAACTTTCTGCTCACCAGGGAAATTGAAATGTACATGACAGTGTACTCTGCGACCATCTGGATGAAGTTGCAAGTCCCTTATCCTGTTCTGAAACGCGATGCTGGTGCCAGCTGTACTGCCATTCCCTACAGCATCAACAAAACAAAAAGGCAATATAAAAGTCGTCATCAGTCAGATACTTTGAATTGAAGGACACTGCACCTGCGAAGGATACCAAGTCCAGCAAAAGCAGGGTAACTGCTTAAGGAACTTACCGTAAACAGCCACAGGGTGTAGGAAAACCATCACAGGTGGCAGACGCATAAATCATCGCACACAGATGGTCGTGAACAGCGTCAGAGGGTAGAATATTATTCTGGCGCTGGTTCATTTAACCTTCAGTTCATTTGTCCGTGACGGACAAGAAAAACCTCCGCTGGAGGCACCCATAACCACAGCCGCTGATTTAGGCTTTCCCGCGTCAGCAGAGGGAAAGTAGGTCAGCGCTGGTACACGTTTCTGTCAGCAGCACAGGCAGAACGGGTTCGGAGGTTTTTCCCATAGATAGGCCCAAAAAACCACAGAAAACCCCAAAAACCACCTGCGTGGTTAACAGTGCTCTCAGATGGCTTGTTAGTGATTGGATTTTTAAATTGAATTGATTTGGGCGCCGGGCCAGCAAAATTAAAGTATAGATCGTTTTAAACTTGAAAAGATTGATGCCAGCCATCAATGGAGCATTTTGAGCTTCTTGAGCATACGAGGAGTCGCTGACAACACAAGGTTGTGAACCAGTCGAAGGAGGAAAAAACACTCAAACAGACATCGAGGTTAAACCTCAGACTGGGTGGTAAAACAAAACCCTACACATGTCGACACTTCAATTAACACATGGATCCGCAAGAACACCATACACAAGGTAAAAATAATAGGGAAACAAAAATGCGTTACTCTGGTCACGCATAGAATCGGAAGGTCAAGAGACAGGCATGTTAACTGTTTGTAAACTCCCTCCTTTCCTTAGAAATCAATGGGGAGCATCGATGAAAGAGGCCGGAGGGAGCAGAGAGGAAGCACTTTTGAAGCAGCTTGACAAGCTGCGGGATGAGGACCCTGGGTCAGTTGTCCAAATATCGTACAATGAAGGTACAAAAGTAATTCAAAGTGTGTTTTTTCAAACTTCTAAAATGCGAGAGTCATTGGAAAAGTTTCCAGAGGTTTTCATCACGGATACAACCTACAACCTTTGTGCCACTCACAGTTTGTGAGGTTGTAGATTGTTCGGCAGGTGAAGGATTTGTGGCTATGCCCTCATCATTTCAGAGAGGAAGGATGTTCTTTTTTCTGTGCTAAGTCGACGCGTCCTAACAACAACGTTCTATCTACAGCGCGTCGTTTTCACAATGTCCTATCTACAGCGCGTCATTTTCACAGTGTCCTATCTACCAAGGGTCATTTTCACAATGTTCTATGTGCAAAAAGCGCGTTCTGAGATATGCAGAGATGAATGTTTAGAGCTCTGTATCAACTCGGCCGATGATCTTACATGGCTGGCATTGGGTGGTATTGAATCTGTAGACCTTCTAGATTCCGCCGGTGTATTTATATTTGCGTTGAGGCAATCCGGTCCTTCGCAAAATGCAAAGTTGCGACGCCGCTTAACCGTATGCTCAGTTGACTATTGTACTTTCCCCGGTCAGCTGTGACAGCCAAACCTGATAATGGAAGGAATGCATATAAAATGTAAGTAATGGCTTAAAATTAAACAACTTTTTCTGATAAATTGGTTGGTTTTTTATTCCTTTATAGAGCGTATTTCGGCTAACGGAGGAAGAAAAATAGGCAGGGGTCCGTAACTTAACGCATTAGCGTTATGCGTTAGTTATATAAATTAACGTGGAACGCATTAGCGATATGCGTTAGTTATATAACGTGACGTCGAACAATTTGCAATAAAAGTTAAAGTTTTGGGTCGTCAAAAATTATTCTGGTGCTTGTTGGAGCTGGTTCCGACATTTTAGGTCTATCTCTTAACGTTTCATTGTATGGTCACAAGTTGTAAGTTATTACTCTTAACGTTTCATTGCACGGTCACAAGTCATAAATTATAACTTTAACAGATAACGTATCGCTTAAGGGGAGTTTCATGTTAAGTTACGGACCCCTGAAAATAGGGGGTAGAACATAAAGGTTCGGTGGAGCCTTTACCCTACCGGTGTTCTCGGGAGGTCCCCGATGACGTTCCTGGGGGCCCGGACGATTTCGGCACTGCAAGATTCAGTCCCAGCGTGGGTGAAAACCCCCGTACTCCAAATTTCGGATGAATCGGAGTTGTCGTGGGGGTGTCATCGGCGTGCTCGGGAGGTGCCCGATGACGTCCCCGGGGCCCAGGGGCCCGAACGACCTCGGCACTCCAGATTTGGACTCAGCCTGCCAGAAAATGCCCCCACCACGAAATTTAAGTCGTTCCAAAGTTGGTAGTCGGCCTAACCGCCAAACCGTTCCTTATTCTGACAGCCCCCCACACACACTCGCTGCTTGCCGCTAGTATACCTCTTGCTGCCGCATCGCCTGCCTGGCGCGCCGCGCGATTTGAGTTAGGTACACTACTGTGCGCGGGACATACGAGCGTGCTCTGTAGGTAGAATACTTACAAACCGCCTTAAAAAGGTACTTTGGGATCGAAATTTCGGAAAAATCCTTGGTTGTACGTGTAGAGGCGCACGTCACGACTTCAAAACCACTCATAACTCAATTTGGTCAAAAATGTCAGTTAGAACATTGTGAAAACGACCCTTTGTAGATAGGACATTGTGAAAATGACGCGCTGTAGATAGGACATTGCGAAATTGACGCGCTGTAGATAGAACGTTGTTGTTAGGACGCGTCGAAGTAGGCTAAAAACCAGCTGCAAAGTCACGAACCAGGTCCAAGTTGTCTATGTCGACAAATCTCAAGCAGAGATAAGTTCAATCTATTCAGTTTTTCCTCATGCAGAAATTCACTTATGTGATTTTCACGTGAATTTTTTTTTTTAGAAGAAAGAAGTGCGCAGCCTCAGCAAGGAGTGGGATTCTCTGGAACCCTTGCTTGAGAAACTTCGGTTTGCATACATCAAAGAAGAGTATGACGAAACATATAAGAATCTGGACAGAGTAGCTGAAGGGCCAGAATCCAGCTTCAATAAGTACTTCAATAGAAACTGGCACAACTCGAAGCTGATTTGGTCGGATTACCAGAGGAACAAATCGTTCATTCTTGGTGAGAGGACCACTGGTCGTGTGGAAAGTCATAATGCCAAAATTAAGCTAATGATCTCAAAGAAAATGGAACCAGCAGAGGTTGTAGTCAGACTTTTTCACTTGGACAGAAATGCACAGCTTGAAAGTGACCACAGAGTTTTTAATCACATGAATAAGGACACATACAGAAGAGACAGTAGTTATCCAATTGTGCAGCAAATAGTAGATAAGAATACGCCTTTTGTTGGTCATCTCCTCATAAAGCAATAGCAGAGAAGTCTACAGCCTGCAACCATGACTTTCCATTCAGTCTCTATTAATAAATGTGATTGTCCATATTTTACTAAATTCAGGCTTATATTGTAGTATTATGAGGTTTCATTAAACCTCTCATAGAAAACCATAACCTAAGCTGTCAATCCAATCATAACATAGCAGACGACTGCAGTTGTTGGTCACGGCCTACTCGACTCTTACCCTTTGGTGGCGCCACCTTCAAACTCAAACCTGACACTAACTCCTATTATTGTTTTACGATCAACACGTTATTGTGCACCGCAAGGCGCGGAATCTTGAATAAAAGCCGGCTGGAACCCAGGGCTCTTCGCCACACTCCCATTTGACTTTGACTTGTAATCATTCAGACTTGGCTCGGCACAGCCAAGCGCCCAATACTACATTGGTGGCAGCGGTAAAAGCGGAGGAAGTAAGGTTAGGAATCTTTGGCAGTCCCTTGGACGCTAAGGATCTCGAAGCAGTCCTTTGGACGCGGAGAGTGGCTCAAAGCAGTCCCGTGGACGCGGCGAGCGAGGCAGGGCAGAAGCAGTCCTTTGGACGCGGACGCCAGGGTAGAGAAGGGAAGTCCTAGCAGTCCTTTGGACGCCGACGCGAAGGATAGGAAAGAGTAGGGAGCTCAGCAGTCCCGTGGACGCCGAGAAGAGCCGACGCAGTCCTTTGGACGCTGACGCGGAGACGACCAAGTCTAGCGGAAGGTGTATAAGTACGAGACGAAGGCGTAGAGTGCTATGTGGCATCAGAGGTCCACAGTACGGATTACGTCATTCAAGGTAGAACCATAGAACCACCCGAAGCGATCACAAGATGTCAGAGAGTGAGGCCCCAGCAGCACCAGACAACGAGGCCACAGGAGTGTCCGAGAGTGAGGCCATCAGGACATCTGTCAGCGAGGCCACTGGGATGTCCGACAGTGAGGCTAACAGCTTCACGAGCGGCGCGTCCAGCACCGACAGCGACCCTGAGGAGGACCTGCATGAGGACTCCGACCAGAGAGCTTTCCCCGAGCTCCGCAATCTACCGGCTCAGAATCAACGACGGAGGGGAGGAGGACGAGGACGAGGCCGAGGACGTCCACGCGGTCGAGGCAGAGGACGACGCCAGCTGGGTCGGCAGCCCAGACAGCCGCAGTTGGAGGAACCAATGGACACAGACGACGGACTCGGAGAGCCAGGACGACGAGATCATGTGCCCGTCCGATTCCGAGACGCCGAAGGAGCTCCGGGGCAGGAAGCTGCTCAAAACCAGGGGGTTCTTCAGGGGGAACAGGAGGATCATGTAGGCGATCAACGCAGAGGTTAGTGACACGAGCGTCGAGAGGAGCACCGTCAGCAGGCGGGGCAGCACGACGTCGACGCCGGGCAGCAGGTGGACAACGACGAGCAACGGGACGAGCAACCCAGGGGGCGGCGAGGTCGCCGCCGTACCATGGCCCAAGCCAGACGTCGCCATGAACGACAGCTGCGGCGCAGGGAATGGCAGCTCCAGGAGAAAGCGATGTTCCTGCAAGCGCTAGAGAGGATCACCAACCGCCCGAGTGATCATCGCAACAAATAATGATGTGCCCAGGTATAGTGGAGAAACAGATGACTCAGTTTACCAGGTGCAGTTCGTCACGCTGGCCGAGGCCAACGAGTGGTCCGACCAGGACAAAAAGTCCGCTATGCTGCAAGCCCTCACAGGCAACGCCACGGATGTGATAGCCAACTTACAGCACCAGGAGATTCCAATCACATACGAGAGCCTGGACCAGGCACTGGTGAAGACCTTTAGCAAAACCGCTTCCTTGTGGGAGCGCAAAAAGGACTTCAATACACTGGTCCAGGAGAAGGATCAAACCATTCGGCAGTTTGCAAGCCAAGTGGAACGGCTGGGCCGGTCCTACCTCCGCAACATGAAGGAGGAGGACATCCAGGAGGCCCCAGTCGAGAAGTTTATCAAGGGCATTAGCGACAAGAAAGCGGCCGCCAGGCTCGCTTACGCGGCGCTTCCAAGCCTCGACGAGGCCCTCAAGACACTCAACAGGGGACTCAGCCTCGAGGTGGAGGAGCCCCAGGCTAAGAAGATAAGGCTGTCCAAAGCGGAGGAGGCAGCAGGGGAAGACAACACTCCGGAGGCCAAGGTCTCCATGGTGTTCCCATCAGCGGACGCCGAGACACAAGCCGGCCCGAGCAGGGGAAGGGCCCGCGGACTAGGGAGGGGAGGCCGAGGTGGATCATCAGGCGAAGGAGGAGATAACCCAGACCGAGACCTAATTTGCCGTGTGTGCGGCAAGCAAGGGCATCGCGCAGCAAACTGCTGGCACAACAATGGAAACTCCAAAGGTGCGTTAAGAGACATCACTATTATCGTGTGTCATAATTGTGGCAAGAAGGGGCACATGGCCCGAAACTGCAGGTCAAGCGGAGGAAATGGGCGAGGCGGAGGCGGCGCCAGCTGCAGCAACGGAAGCGGAAGCAGCAGCTCCAATTTCCAGATGCCCAACGTCCCTCCCGACCTCAACAAGGCGACCCTGCAATGGTGCATCAACCAGTAGAAGGGCAACAACGGAGAGGGCCTGTCACGGCCCGTGACATTGGCGCCTTTGGTATAGGCAACCCACCTCTTTCCCGCCTCTCCACTCCACCCAGCGTCCGGCCGCCGCGCCAGCGACACTAGCGCTAGCGCGTGAGCGGTGGCCGGCGCGTGAAGCGTGAGTCAGTCTAGCCGAGACCGGCGAGGAGCACGGACGCGCGCGTCGCGCAGCAGATTCGGACGTCACCACGTGTCCCGGCCAGCCGCCGTCAACATCGGCTGTGTCAAGTTTCCATCACTCACCATCCATCTTTCACCATGATCTTCAAGTCGCCCATAAGGTGTGTGTCGGCGGCGACGGCTCTTCAAAAGGTATTTTTCTCTCCGGCAACATATTTACATTTGTTGTTGCGCAGGGCAACGTTCCCCGGGACGACTGAGGTCATGATGGGCTAGGCCCTCACCTGCGCCCTTGCCCTCCGATGCCACCGCCGACACCACCACCATGTTCCTCATCTTCATCTTCGCCTCTGGGCACAACCAACACCACCAAGGCCCTGGCCATCGCCGGCGTGCTTTGGGCTGTCGAGCCCCCCTCCTCTTTCCACCGGCCGGCGCCGTGACGTCATGTCCGGCGCCGCCCAACGTCAAGACCAGCTGGTGCTTGTGTGTGTGGTTGTGTGCTCTAGTGCTTTGCACTTCACGTACTCTTTGAGACGTAATTTCTGTACGTCAGTTGAAGTGACGTTATGATCGTTATGATCAGTGTATCCGTTTCCGGTGGGAGGCGCCGCCCCCCGGATACGGTTTGTTCTTCTTTTCCTGCCCGAGCTGCTGCCTGCTGTTTTGCAACTCGGTTACCGGTGAGTGCACTCTATTATTCTAAAAATCCTTGGGCCCAGGGTACCTGTTATTGTACTGTTTCATCGTTTTGTACCGTACTGATATAACAGTGTTTATAGACAGTTGTTTTCCTGTCTCGTTTCCGGTTTTACCGGCCATACTCTGTGTATAGAGTTTAATTATAATTCCTTGGTATGTCCACCGATGCAAATGTTCCTGCCCTTGTTTATGGGTGTAAATCACTTTCTTTAGTGTTCACTATCGATTGTTGTCTTGATTTGCTTTTGGGTGTTCTCATAGCCAATGTGGAATTATTGTATGTTTGCTGTTTGTATAGCAATGATTTTCTATGTGCGTTCCCTCGCCCAGTGCGTTGTATTTGTGTATTTCATGTGAAATGTTAGTTTATACGTTTCATTTGCACTAATGTTTCCATATATTCTTATTGCGTTTTGTTTAAATTACATTCAATTTCTATAATTCATCTACAACTTTCAGTTTTATTATTACCACACTTTTATGATACTTTCTGTATCTTTTTTCTACCAATTTGAATGTACTTTCTGTACTTTTCCATCCTTTTAACACTTTGTTTGTGGTAAATTCTCCAACTTTAAATTCACTCTGTGAATTCATTGAATTATGCTGAAATTGCACCTGTATTTCAATTGTAAATCTGAAAGTAGCAAAATGCATAAGAATTATTAAATATCTGTAAAATTACCATTTAAAATGCGTTGTATTTAAATTCATTTAAATTCATTTACTTACTTGCATTCAACATCAAGAGTTGAGAAATGACACCCACGCATCCACGAAAGCAAGCCAATTTTGTAATTCTCCTCTTCGATACAGAAAACCTTTACAGGCCAAGGAAGCAGCAGCAGCAGCAGTTCCAGCACCTCGGTACCGTTTGTGCCGAACAACCAGAGCCAGGGAAACGGCTAACCACTTCCATCGACACGGTGGCTATGGAGGTGGAGGAGAAGAGCACTACAAGTCCACCGGTGACCGAAGTAGAAGTCCCCGTCCAAGGAGAAGCCATGGATCAGAGCAGCCCCAAGGACGACAACGACGACGGTCACCGGGAAGACGTCACTTGTAATGCGTGTACAACTGTTAGTACAGCGCCAACGATCTCATGTAAAATAAACAATAAGAATAAAGATTGTGTTATAGATACAGCTGCTGTTATTACTGTACTCGCTAGATCAAGGAATCTTCCCGTTGCAAAGTTAAGACTGAAAGGAGTCACTGCACACAAAGTAAACTTATATGGTCCAGAAATGACAAAGTTCACGATAGGAGGCAAAGTTTTTAAGTTCCTAGCTTATGAGGCGGATATAGAGGCAAACTTGTAAGGAATAGACTTCTTACATGAGTTTAACGCTATTGTTCGCATCAAAGAGCAAATCCTGGAAATGGGTCCAAATGATGACAGGGTACAAATTCCATTTAGTCTAAAAGAGTCGGCATGTGCCAAGACATATGCGGCAGGAAAAGTTGCTTATAGCATTAGAACTGAAAAGAGAATAATTTTAAAACCATTTAATGAAGTAGAAATAAATACAAGTCTGAAAGTGGATTCAGTGGCTGATGAGTTAGTAGAGGAGACTAACGACCCGTCAGACAGTGGCTTGGCTCGGGGTCCGAGTTCAGGTGGGAGGTGCCACACCCAGAGCAGGGTGGTACTGAGCATCGGAACAGACGACCAAGAAGTGCAGGCAGGTTCTGAGGGCAGAAAAGAAAAGGGATCCCGTAATAAAACAGTCAAAAGAGACCAGTCACTAGGGATAGAGAAAACACAGTTAGGATTGTTTAGTTCAAATCAAGCATTTGGAACTAAGGTGTCAAAATTACCACAATCCGTGGTAACAGAGTCAGGAATAGTACCTTGTATATCAGCACCCATGAAAGTAGTTGTTCAGAACTTAGGGGACAAGTGTGTCACGCTGCAGAAGTATACAGTACTGGGAGAAGTATTTTTACTACACCCAGATGAGTACGAGGACTTTGCAGGCGGGCCTGTAGCGGCCTGTAGCGGCCTGTAGGGAAAGGAGAAGAAGTAAAGGTTAGACAAACCAAAAGTTTGGAGCACCACAGTCACTACTCACCGATCAAGGAAAAGCCTTTGATTCACTCCTATTTCAAGAGATAATGCAGCAGTATAGCATAAGGAAGTACAGAACCACTGCATTTCATCCTGCATCAAATGGAAAAGCAGAAAGGTGGATCAAAACATTGAAGCAACCCTTGATGATTCTCATTGAAAATGACAGAAAACAATGGCCAAAATACCTACCATTTATAGCTCAGGCGTACAGGAATCTTCCGTACTCATCCCATAAGTTCTTGCCATACGAAGTGATGTTTGGAGCACCAATGAGGACACCATTAGATATAGAAAGGTGTGTACCGCCGAGGTTAGGTGCCATGAACGAAGATTATCCGTTTTGGGTACGGGAGACAATGCACAGGATCCATGATGCTGTAGCTAATATGACAAAGAAAGCTGCTAAGCGAATGAAAGACTATTATGACAGAAATGCGTCACTAGCACCATTTAAGGAGGGAGATAGAGTGTTTCTCTACTACACAAGACGAAAGAAAGGTGTATCCACAAAGCTACTTACAAGATGGGAAGGACCGTACCTTCTACTAGACGCAATAAATGATTGCGATGCCCGTATACAACACACGCTTAACCCCAACAAAAAGTTAATCGTACATATGGAGCGGTTAGCCAAATGTCCAGATGAATATGAAACAGGAGTTTTAGATCTGGGTAATGTTTGGTTAACGTACGTGACAGAGACGGAAACAGAGTCTGAGTAGTCGCCATCTTGGGATTCGAGATCTCGAGATAGCGACTGGGAACTGGCCGAAGGGAGTCACCAAACAAATGCGAATCGCGCCATCGGATTCAAAAACAACAGAATAAACAG